ATACCGCTGACAAGGATATCTTGGTTATTATTGACTAAAACGTCATAGGCTGTTCTGGTATCCAGCTGATGTGATTCAAACACATTCACTTTTGTTCCTAATATAACGGTTTAACAGTCGCTGATGACGTAGAGGATACACTTGCCTAACCTGTGTGCGGGCAGCAGGTTCCCATTAAGGATGTGAGAGTTTTATTATTTTGGTGGGGATGGCACTTGGTGTAAAATGTTTGAGACCCACTAGCACTGTCCAATGATATTTAAAAGAAACACTGGGGGTCAGTGTCGTACAACGGATGAGAAAAATAATTTTACTTTATTATTATTATTATTATTATTTTGTAGGGCCTTTAAATTAAGCACGTTGGATAGTTGTGCTTATTAACTTAGTTGCTGTTTTGGTGAAGGCATTAGACGAGGTCACCTGACCTCGAGGTCTCTGAGGGGCAGAGGTGCTGCTGAGAGAGAGAGAGCGAGAGAGAGAGAGAGAGAGAGAGAGAGAGAGAGAGAGAGAGAGAGAGAGAGAGAGAGAGAGAGAGAGAGAGCGAAACTTCAATTTCAAAATTATAATTGACGATATATTTTTTTGCTCAATAAAAAATTTACAAATGACAAATTTAAATGAATTATAAAATAGTCAAATAAAACAGAGATTATTTGAATAAAAATATTTTCACAAAATTAAAAATGATAATTAAAAAAAATAAATGTCCACCATTAACTCATTCAGTACCAGCCAATTTGAGACCCTTTTTTTTTTTTTTTTTTACCCTAAGTTTTGGAAAAATTGGGAAAAAAAAGTATCTGGGGTTGAACGTGTGGAGTGTGAAAAGACATATAAATATGTCTTTGGGAGTGAATGAGTTGAATTTGAGTCGAAAAGGTAGCGATAGTTTTGGACTGTGAATAGTAAGATTAAAACATGAAATACATTTTTTAATCTTACTATAAAGCGACTCAATTCATTTACGGACATTCACATTTTCTGGTGAACGGCGTCATCTATGCCCGCATTCAGGTTTAATGGTAGAATTTACATTTATCTCTCAAGGCGTGCTGTTGTCATGGTAACCCATAGTGTTGACACTAAACGCGGTCTGGTTCACAACTCACCGCGAATCACTGGTTGCGATATTTTAATACGTTCTGCATCTTCAAGGCGTCTTTTTAGCACTCGACACATCAAAATCGACAGTGTTCGGTGCTGAAAAAAGTTCACTCTGGAGAAAAGTTCCTTACCCGTCTGTGCACCGACAAAAAGACCTGACGCCAAACAACAACAACATGGACTCAACTGAAGACTTGGACGTTTTCTTGAAGAATGTCGACGAAATATGTAAGTAATATCCATAATATGTGGTCATCGAGTTAGGACTTTCTGTACTCTACAAGGAGCAAGTACAGTACTGTACTCGCAAAATGAGACTTTTCTCAGTTAGCTTACATTTAAGTTCGTCGAAAGGCTTAATGTTAAGCTTCTGTTAATTTGTGCAATGTACAGTTTTAATTTGGTATTGCTCTATGATTTAATATAACAAAATTTCTAAGGACTATAGCGTCGACCTCGATTAAGAATCTTCGCCATTTAATGTTGCACTGAAAAACTCTCTCATTTTGCTCCTTTGATTGCTTCCACTCTTCTGGGCAGACTTTACAGTATCATTTCATACCTTAAAGGGATAAACTCCACCCTGATTTTTATAAACTCTTAGGCCCAATACACTACTACACCATAATGCTGGTTGTGATGATGGCACTTGTAAAGTTAAGTTGGATGTCAATTACTCAGTAGACATAATTCACAGGTGTCAAAGTCAAGGCCTGGGGGCCAGATCTGGCCCACCATATAATTTTATGTGGCCCGCAAAAGCAAATCAAGCATGTCAAGTTCCATGATGCTTGCTAAAGTCTGAACCAAAATTTCAAATGATCATATGTAATCCACAATAACAGTAATTATTCTTGACTTCTGATTTTAAAACTAGTTAATCATCAATTTGTTGTGTGATGTGTATGTAATATGTGCAGGGGATTAAACATATGGTTTCCCCAAATTCATAACGGCCCTCCAAGGGAAAACCGTAACTACAATGTGGCCCGCGACAAAAATGAGTTTGACACCCTTAACATAAGGGCAAGACTTGAGAATTTTCCAAGCCGAAACTGATAACAGTCAAATATTCCTTGACATTAATGATATGACATTTTTTTCAGGACAGCACCATAATTAGAAAAAACACCAGCTCAGAATTCACACACAGAATTTCCACAAAACAGCATGCATATGAACAACAAGCAGCAACTCAGCGGTGACATTTTACCCAACATACACGTCAGAACACAAGAGCATTGACTTGAGTTGGGTGAATGCTCACCCGCTGTTGCATTGTGGTAATTCTTGCCCCCCCAAAAATCCCCTGCTTGCTTACTGCTGGAATAGCCAGGTTAAACCTGTCGTCATTGATCTGGGCCCAACATGGCAGCGGGTTTTGCTTGGTGGGAATTTACTGTGTTTGCAAATAATCACAGACTTCTGTGTGGGCGGCGGAACAATTTCCCGTTCTCCTTTCACATTGATAGCATGTGTCATATATTTGTTCTAAGGTTTTTCAAACAGACACATTCCACAAGGCAAGATTTTCTTTTCAACCGCAGGCAAAAATGACCATGCTGGTCGGTTTGGCAACGTTTGGGCATCATCAGTGTAAAAATCCTACAGGCAGTAAAGTCGGGCCTTCAAAATAAAAACACGCTATCTGCCGCTGGATGTGGCTCTTTCTCCTCCTCAAGCCCAAAAAATGTGATTATCGGACCAGTCGACGACATACTCTAAACGTCACACTGGAGTAGTAAACCCGACAAGTCAAGTTTAGTTTTTACAAATTCCAGCACAGTGATCGCTGGGTTGGCTGGTGGTGGGCACGCTAAAAAGCAAAACAAACAAACAAACGAATCAATGTATTTGGGGTCCGGTGCTTGGAAACCATTGCAATAGTACAAATTTGTGTCTTGCTTTAGTAGGATGTTCAAAATTGTTGGATATATATTGGCTGGCCTGTTGATTTTCTTGCTGCTCTCTTTCATCTTTATTTTCACTTCCATCCATAGACAGCTGTCTGGTTTTCATTTTCTTGAAGCTTCCATTATAAATTCAGTCTTCTAAGCAACACCCAAATCTGAAACTGAATCAGTAATATAAATTTACTGGTGCCGCCTTGCAGTACGAGTTACTCCACGTATGAATTTTTCGAGACACGGGAAATGCTTGAGTTAATAAAAAGCATCTGTGTTGTGGTATTATGACCCTTTGAGCAACTGATATTTGATCACAGACAGTGGAGCAACACATGTCGGCAACCAATGTAACAAAACTGACAGGTATATATTCTTTATCTTCTGTGAAGAGCAACTCATATTATTGCAGTTTCCTGATTAGCTGAGGCCATCACTATGTCCTGTATATATCATTTGAGATATGAGTGTTTTGCGTGGTTACGGAACAAAATAGTCATATCTCAATGCACCGCTATAATAGGAAACAGCTCACAGCATTATCAAGTTGCAAGATGTTTGTGCTCTTTCTAATGCTGCACTCTTCCTTGTGTATCAGTGTAATGGGAACTGCATCAAAGCTTACCTCCACATGGGCAAGGCGTACCTTGGGTTGAAGAAGTATAGTGAGGTAAGTACAAGAAGTGCTCATTAGATCTAATCTCGCCGTTTCTTTTTTCAGACATCGCTTTTGTGCCGCCACAGTATGCTCATCATCTCATCTAATGGTGATGAGCACGTTTTAACGCTGATACTTCAATGCCGGGTGATCCCTTAACGAGTTAACCGGATTTCAAGGCACAGCATCTATATGAAGGAGCTGCCTAGCTTACTGTCCATCCACGTGAAAGTTGTTTTTTTTTTTCTTTCGCTTTTCATGTGAGATTTCCTTGAATCTGTGCTGTCAACCAGTTAGGCAAAAACACTGATCCATATTTCTGTAACATACTTATGAAGAGACAGAAACTCTGGAGCTGTTCAAACAGTAGCGGATGGAAGTGGCGGCATTTTTAAAAATGTCTTTATTATTGTTTTTTATTTACTTATATAGAGATGTGAGGATGGGAAAGGTGGAAAATGAATAATGCAGAATAGTACATACATGAATAGCTCATTCAACATGACCAAAACATATTGACTTTTGACTCCATGGCAATCTTGGACCCTGTGGTAAATGATGAATTATTTATTGAGGGAGTGTGGATGCACACTGTATTAAACAAATGCCTCTCCTTTTTTTCCCCCCCAGTCCAGAACATGCTTTGAAAAAATAGCTCAACTTGAGCCACAGATGGAGAACATGGCTAAAGGTAAAGTATGAGTCATTCGCCATTTCTTAAAATGCAGTTCTGGAAAAAGTAAAGACAAAAAAAAAAAAAACACTCGACCTTTCTTGGTGTTTTAACCATTTTTCATTTTGGCAAATACGCCTAATCTAGACTTTAATGACAAGATTTGTATTTGGAATTTGGGAGTTATGTTATCGGTATGCCTGTGAATATTCTCCTGCATCCGAGTCCTTTCATTCTCTGGGCAGTGAATCGATTGCAATCGGACCGTTCTGGTTGTCTTGGAAGATGTTTCGCATTTCATCACAAGCACAGCCGCCCAGTCGCAATCGATTCACTGCCCAAAGTATGTTGTCAGTGGTTTATAGATTAAAACCAAAAGGTTCATTTTTCTCAAACATGTGAGAACCTTTTACAGGCTCATCGTGTTGTCACAAAGTATGCGAGTGCATCATTTTAAGTTCACAAAAACACACAATAAAATACAATAAATCTTTATTGATACAATATAGCGCTTTCACAACAGCTGCAGCTATAACAAAGCGCTTTACGGAACATTTGACATCAAACAATAGAAATAATACAACAGCACGCAATAATGAAACAGAACAAAAATAAAGAGAATAATCTACCTTCTTGCAGTTAATAACGCAATCATGATGTATTGTTTACCCCTTTCATGCACCCTGTAACCTGATAACATGATAAGTTGTCCACTGAAGTAACCGCTGTCCCTGAAGGGGTTAAAAATCAAACAGCTGTGGTGGAATATTGGCACTTCCATAAAAGGTTGCTGTAAAAATGATGTAAAACGTCACCACCCTAAAAAACTCTGTAGCCATTTAATGCATTTTTTTATTATTACATTCAGTACTTGTTAATGATGCCCATTTTTTTATTTTTTATTTTTTATGGGCATGGCCTGTTTTTTTTCTTTTCTTTGCAATATTGTTTCCTGACTTATTTTGTCACATTCTGTTACTGACTGTCTGAACACGGTAACTTATACTCACCCAAACTCATATGCACACGTCTCCTCATGTCCACTATACACGAAATGCTGGCTCCTATAAGGAAAAGCAATTATTGCCTCCATGATGACACATCCAAGGTTATGAAATTATTTTAGACCGGTAACTAGAACATTTCGTACCGCCACATTTGCCTGTATCAGCGACCGAGCGCTTATTAAGCCTTGACAGCTGCAGTGGCATTAACTTGTTAGCTGAGGTGGGGCTAATGGCTGCCTAGCTATGGAGTCTAACAAAACTTCAGCGTGTGATTTGACTGAGATGATCCTATCGTCTCAAAATTTCACACCTTGGATGCCTGAAGACGTCTGCAAACTTATTTTTCATCTAAGTGGCAACGCCACCTACTGGCTAGAGGAAATACAAGTTTTATTCTTTGATTTTTTTTTTTTTCCCTAGCGAGTTAACCAGATTTACCACATATTTGCTGGAAAGAGTGTTTTAAAACACAAAGCTTGTAACTTCTTGCGAAACGCAGCGCTGTTCGCCAAGAAAACAACGCTAATTTTTAGGGTCTTCACATGCACAAAATCTCATGAAACTTGTGAAACTGTCAAAATCATCAAGATTTTAAGAGTTCATTGTGCAATTTTTGAAAAAACGGCTCAGCAGTGCTCCGTACGAATTCATAAATATGTTCACACGTGTTTACAAATACATTCCAACGTGCACTAACTCTAGCCATCATTAAAGTTTTTTTTTTGTTGTTTTTCTTAAACTTGTGGCTGCTATGGAGTTTTCACATTCCGAGCTCGAAAATTCTGAATGCCCTACTTGGATAAGAACAAATAAAGGGCTTTGGCAGGATATGACTTTTGCATTTCTGTAATGCAGAATACCTGACCAAGATGGAGCTGGAAGAGAAGAAGGAGAGTGAAGAATTCAATGCGAGGCAAGATTTTGACAGGGGAGTGGAAAAGGCCAAACTAATCCCTCAGCTTGTGGGGAAGCTGTCAGAGCCTGGGCAGATGCTGCTCTACTATTGCGGAATATTGGAGATTCTCGCCCATGCTGTGACTGACAGTGAGTGTTCTTGTTATAAATTCTACCTTTGAACAAGAAATTGTCTCCTTTGAATCAATTTGTGGTCATTCTAGTCTTTCTTAATAATCTGCTCCACTGATTCAGCGGTCTCGAAAGGGCTCGGAAGTTACAAAAGGAAATATATCAAGAAAAGGCGGCGATTAAGTGCTCGGCGTGAATGACCTGAAGCAGGGCAACAAATAGGACTTTTCGATTACAATCATGAGAGGTTAAAGCTAGAATAATATTTCTGACACTGTTACAGGGCTGGATTCGTAGTTATCATGTCTGCCTCTCAGTTCTCAGGCTCGGGGGTTTGCATCTTGGTTCTGGTCTCCTTTTGTGGAGTTCTCCACGTGGTTGTGTGGGCTTTCTTCGCGCACTTTGGATTCCTCCCACATTTCAACAACGTACATATGAGATTAATCGATGAGTACTTTTTCCTAATGTGAGCGCGAATGGTTGTTTGTCTATATGTGCCCTGCAATTGGCTGGTGACCAGTCCAATGTGTACTGACAGGCCTTTCACCCAGTCAGTTGGGAAAGGTTCCAGCTCACCTCCAACCGCCAAGAGGGCAAGTGCAATAAAAATGGATCGATGGATTTCCCAACTTTTCCCAGCGCTGCATCAATCTGGTGATTCACATTTATCAAATAAATATTCACCCAAAATCACAAGTTGGGCACGGAACGAATCATGATTTCTTGGGACGTAATGGAATATATAGTAAGATAAGATGATGAATAATGTTGAAAAGATTAAATGCCAGCTGTCTTCGAGCAGTAGGCGGGGGAAACCCTGAACTGGTTGCCAGCCATTAACGCTCACAATCACAACTATGGACAATGTAGAATGTTCTATTAGCCTAGCGTGCATGTTTTTGTAATGTGGGCGGAAACCGGAGTACCCGGAGAAAACCCACGCAGGCACGGGCAAAACATGCAAACTTCACACAGGAAGGCCGGAACCGGAACCAAACCCTTCACCTATGCACTGTAAGGGTGACATGCTAACCAGTCAACCGGCATGCTGCCCCGACAGTGGATCATGTTGTTGATTATTATTTATTATTACATCCATCGATTATCCGAACCTCTTATCGTCACGAGGGTTGCAGGCATGTATTCCAGCTGTCTGTTGTTATTATTTTTATTATTATCCAGCCATCCATTTTCTGATCCGCCTTATCCTCACAAGGGTCACGGGGGTGCTGAAGCCTATCCCAGCTGTCTTTGGGCAGTAGGGGGGGACACCCTGAACCGGTCGTCAGCCAATCGCAGGGCACAGTGAGACAAACAACCATCCGCACTCAGAATTATATCTAGGGACAATTTTGAGTGTTCAATCAGCCTGCCATGCATGTTTTTGGAATGTGTGAGGAAACCAGAGTGCCCAGAGAAAACCCACGCAGGCACGGGGCCGCGTTTATTATTATTGTTATTCTGTGAAGTTTTTTTATTTTATTTTTAAGCTTCAGCCTGAAGTTTCCTCTCTTCAAGCTACCAGCAACCCTCCCTTGTGGTGACCCAACGGTTGACTTTGAAAGTCTGCACCACTTACACTAACTCACCTTGAGGTATTGCCGAAAGGCAGACGTTGTAGTTTGCATATAATCCATCATGCTCACTGCCTTTCTTTTACTTCTAAACAGGAATTTTAACACACTTTTGCAACCCTCCCCCAGTACAAATACAGATGACTAGTAATGACACCGGGGCCAAGAATGACAGCTCTTGATTTACATATCATGTAATTGTTTTTACTGCATCACTCCACTACATTACTGCACTTCATTTTGATGACTGCTGAGTGATTTAATACCTGTCCCACCGTACAGTTCAGTAGAAAAGGGCAAGACTTGCATAACTCGCCGCCGAAACTATCTCAGCGGGCTTGACATGACGCCTCTCACTCAATGTGAGAGCTCCAATGTCACCACACCCTCTATAGCTTCCATATTGTCATGAAATACGGTACACTATCAACTCATGTCATTTCCTGCTTTCGCCCTAACAGGCAGCGGCCAGACGCTTTTCAGGCTGCATAATGGCTTCAGTATTATCGACAGCAATGACACAACGAAGAGGTAAGGAGACCGGAGGGAGAGTTGGCTGTCAGCTCTCAACGGAGCTTTGACAAATGGAGCAGCAGATAGGCACATTCACCGACAATGATGGCCGAGTGAAGGGAGATCCCTCTCTTAACCTGACTCCGCTGTTGTTGTGCAAGGACGAAATTGTAATCAGAAGATTGAAATAAGTGAGCCTTTTTTTTTTTTCCTCTCAGAAATTGGAAATCGTGACCCCCCCTCATGTCACACCAGTGAGGTTATAATTAACTTGTTCCGTTCTCATGAATTGTTAGCACTGCCATGATCAAAGTGAGAACACTCAGTGTCAGGGGAGTGCAGCTGGAAATAGGTAAAAATAGCACATTTTGATCATGCTATATTTCTGGCCGAAGTGTTGAAATCATTGTTCATCCACACTCAGCAGGCACTTCATTTAGGTTGACATGCACATTTGATGAGATCCAATTTGAGAACTCGTATCAAAATGTCTGCCTGACCAATATATAATACTGCTTCTTTTTGACATGTTGCGAGAGAGAGGTCTCAGTTTTGCAATGGATACAATGAATACAAATCATGAAATCGAGCATGGGGACGGTATTTTCAGCCTGATTTTAGACAATATTATGGGCAAAAGCTGAGCAATTTGCATGTAGACACGTTTTCTCACATAAGACAGCTCACAAAAATCATACAGGTGTGCAGTTGTGTAATTTCATACATGAATGGCTAGGCAAGCACCTCAGTGCCCCATAAAGCAACTAAAAAGTCACTTTTAATCAGGAAACACATGTATTTATCTTTGTTTGTTTGTTTTTTGCCACAGTTGCCTTTTGCAGGAAGCAAATGACCCATGCAGCCAAGACTTGTGTGTCAGCATTCTCAACGTTTGGACGATAACATGCAGGGAAAACGGTATGTCGATAATGAAATGACAGGCCAGTGTTCTGTCTTCGCTCTTGTGGGACTTTGCTGTCCTTTGACGGTAAACGGAAAGAGTAAAATCCTCATGGTAAAATAATCTGCAAAAGTATTGCCTTGTGTCATTACTGCACATCTTGCTGTCATGAACACCTGAGCTCGCTTTTGTCGAGTTGGCTTAGAATTCTGAATGCAGTGATTCATCCCTTCGTCTCTATTAGACACAGCAATTCTCTTCTGGATGAATGGACACGCATTCTCACAAGACGTCATTCATCATAGGAAGTCATAGAAAGAGCCGACGTGTTCGTAATCTTGTGACAGGTTGTGCCAAATCCGAAAACCTCATGAATGAGGCGTGGATGATAAAAGATGTATAAATGATTTAACAAGAGCGCCATGTCAGATGAGGTGATGATGATGTGATGGATTTATTGGGAAATAAATTGATAAGTTAGCGGGATAACGCTCAGGAATAAGTTGTTCCTCCAATTTGAATTTGGAATCGATTTACATTGTAATTTCCCATTTCAACGCTGTAATGTGACCTTGCGGTCTTACCAAGACAGCTAAATACCGTCAAAGTCTTGACAAACGCACTAGATCTAAAGAGGAGGAGCTACCGTAAAAAGGGTGTGGCCTGATGTTCGCTTTACTTCTATTACTCAGGAAAGGTGGATAAAAGGGCTTAAAACATGACTGACTCCTTAAAACCGAGGTGATGAAACCTGAGACGAGTCTTAGTAAAATTTCCATCCCCTCCGGTGACCGTGTTAGAGCAGGCGAGGGATAAGAAGAGTTTTAACCCTTTGAATGTTCAGTCAGCCAGGACATTCTCGATAGTAAGCGGGATCTGACACTTGCACGTTTTGATTTTCATGTGACTGTCTCTTTGTGTGGCTTTCAGAGGAAAACCAGAAAACGCTGTTGACATGTCCAGCGTCCAAAGCGTCCATTGTTCCCTTGGTCTCGGCTGAAAATGACGCAATGCAAAAGGAGTGCCTGGAATTGTTATGCGTGTTCTCGCATACTGCACATGGCAGACGTCTTCTCTTTGACAACTTGGATGTCCCCACGTATGATGTTTTGTCATCATCGGACACGTGCCGTGATGCTTTTTTTGAGTGTAACGTTCTTAGATTTGCTGCACCGCAAGTTCGTCTCCTTCAACAATGTGTGATAATTTCAACTTGGAATTCCAGTTCAGTTACAACTTTGAATAGGGCTTCATTATAGGCCAAATTAAAATCTTAATGACTTCGCTTTGGAATATGATCTTAATGCTGGGAGTATTAGCGCGGCATGTGAGGATTTCTGTGATAAGATATGAAGTATTACAGCCCTCGCTTCTTTCCTTGGCATTTTATCCTCAGCACAACCTCTCTCAGCATTTTCGTGCCGTCTCTTGATAGAATGCAATTTCAAGTTAATAAGGTGCCATTTGCCCAAAACGCTTTTATCATTTTCCCCCCCTTTTGTGTCCCTTCTTTTTACTTTATTTCCTATTTGTTCTTCCTTAATCTGACTCTAAAGGTTAACAAGGAGCCTCATGGCGTGCATCTCGAGGCCAGCGCCGCAACGGGAGAACAGAGCGCTCCTCATTTTGCAGGAGTTGGCGAGAGAAAAAAAGTATAAGCTCAGCACTACAAACACGATTCTCCTCACATAACACCAAATGATTTGGATTTCCAAATGTGGAAACACACGATCCCACAAGTCTGACTGTGAACCGGAGGCCAGCCTATTATACCTGCATGTATCATATCTGTATTAAATGCACTTCAGAACGTGGCTCCATCGCAGAAAGGTTCTCAGAGAAAATGGAAAACGCAGAATCTCTAATAAATCAACGCGCGGCCCAAGTGTTAATGTCTCTTCAAGGTAAAGAGCTATTTTCAAGCCGGTCCCCTTTTCTGAAACCTCATGAAAACAGACAAGAAAGGACAACCGGGGCGCTTGGAACACAGCAGGAAATAAGTTGACGTGCCAGGCACTGAAATGGGGTGATCAATTTCCGCCGTCTCTTCTCGGAGAATTATGTGGCTCCGAGATCAGTGGGGTCAAAATCGTGCATTTCGTCTGGATATGCAGCATTTACGGGCCACAACCGTTGATTTCCTGAAAATGACGTGAACACAATCTGCCTTGAGAGTGACCGTTCTCAGTTTAAATGGACAGATAGGCATTCATTCAGCAGTGTTTATTCCTCTTGATTTTTACAATGCTGACAAGACCGACTTAAGCTTCATTTGTCCAATATAATATGGCCACCTCCTCACCTCTGTTTTTGATACTGCTTGTGTTTGGAGTGTCAAGATCAGGAGCTCTCTAGTGTGGTCCTACTGTACTGTAGTAACACTACAGGCTCCCTCTAGTGGTATGTGAAAGAATCGCTGCCTAAATACAGTTCCAAGTTTGTATTTTTTAGAGGTGGTAGGTTGTGTAAAAACGTGGAAAAATCTGGTCTAGTTTATTCAGTTGTTCACAATTTCGTGTCGACATTGAACATATTGTGAAATATTATGTTCAATATAGCATGGACGCTCAGCTTGCCCTGTGAATGGCGGCAAAAAGGGTTTAGCCCGCTCACCTGCAATTCTAATGAGCAAAAGCACAAAAGAAAATGGATTGGATTAAACGCATTCATCATCAACTCGGCTTTGCGGGTGCCAAGTCTAATCTTCCAAGGCAATCATTAAGTACTGAAGTGGCGAAATGTTTCCTAATTGGTTTGACATTTCTTGTTGATTAGAGAGTACAAGTTGGTCATCGAATGAACCAATTTGTTGCCTTGAAAGGTTGCATTTGCTCGCTGTGAACTCTCCCATGTGGAGCGGGCGAGGTGACGAGCATGTCGTCGAACTTTAAATGCGTTTTGCAGATTTTGCTTTCAGCTAAGAACTGTGCTGGCAGACTCTTTCTCTGAGCCATTCACAACGATCATGGTGAGATGATGATACACAGATGCAAGATTGACTTTTTTTGTGCATGTATGTCTAATGTATGTCTTCTTTTTCCAGAGCAATATCAGCATGGACAATCGTCACGTCGTCCCTTCGCTTTTATCAGCTGTCGGCAGTCTGAGTAGAGATGACATCATCCGTCACACCCTTGCTCACGATACAGAATGTTGGAAAGCCTTCCTGCTTGCCATCGTGAGTAGCATCGCGTATGCGTACTGATAAAACGGCTGATTATTTTGGAAAAAAAATATATCTTCAACAGCTCAGCTGTTTTCTCAGTTTGCTCATGTGACGTTCGCAAGCTGAGCTGTGGTTCATCGTGACCTGAGCCCTGAGCAACTGTCATGTCATTTTCAGTTGACAGCAAGTGGCAAAATGGCCGCCTTCCCCAGCTTAGAATATTTATATGCACGTACACAAGTCTCACAATTGAATCGCCGCTCTGTATTAAATATAACACATACACGACCCTCGTCAGGATATGCGGTTCAGATGATGGATGGACATGCGTGTAAATAGAAAATAATCACTTTTATGATTCATTCATTTCGGAAGGTGTTGCTTTTTTTCTGACTGTATGACTGTTGAATGTCTTTGTAGAAAAATTGCATCGCATGCAGTTTCAATGAGATACTTTACCCTCTGCTTGGCTTGATCATCAACCTTTCAACCCTGACCTCTCCTGTTATTCAGGTAATGTTATTCTTAGCCATCAAATTCTTTGAGAGCCACATTGAAAAAACAACAACAACAACGCCGCATATATTTGTGGATTGTGATGAGTGTTTTCTCGTATTAAGAGGCGAGGGGTTTATTTATAGGAAAATGCATTTTCACTGTGTGGCTGCTGCCTGGACCTGCTGAGGGATAATGATGAAGACATTGTTACGGTGAGTGAGCGAGTGATCATTTTTTTCACAATCTATGACCGTAAAACACACAAAAAAAAATGCATGGAAAGGACCTAACTCCCTTAATGTTTTTTGTTTTTTTTTTAACAGTCACACTGAAGTTTTCTAAAAAGTTTTCTTTTCCAAAGCAACACCACATGACATTTGTGGGTCATTTTCTGGCTTGTAAGCCCTCAGGCAACAAAGCTCGAATCTCGAAGCTGAATTTGTCAATGCTCAGGGGTACCGCTGTATTTGATTAAAAGCTCCGGCTCCATGTGCTGCTGTCTGCGCTAATGGCTGTTTCAGCAATTCTGCTCTACCTAAACAGGGGCCTTTGTGTTCCTCACTTCCACCCATCTGTCTCATCACTCACTTGTAAGACACACCAACTGCCTGGCAGGCTTATTTTTTTTCTCGTCTCATATCTACATCCTTTTTTTTGACATTGTCTACTCTTCCTATGCTATCTTCCCTCACTGCCTTTTTAACACATAGTTAGCTTCCCTAAAATCCCTCAAGCATGAATACCAAATGCCGTCCCCTTAGAAGCAATTACCAATGCCCTTTTTTTTACATTGCCTTTGGCAGTAAGTAAAACACCGTTTCAAGAAATCATCAAGAAACACCGTATGGACAGATGTTTTGAGAGAAACCTCTTAAATTGTTGGATTTGTCTGTCTGATGTGATGCTAGTCACCTTGTCCCCC